GTTGGGACAGCTCGGGCAAAATATTACTTGTTGTGCGCAAGTTTTAGTTTGCAATTTGGTGCCGAGATGGTGAAATGGGCTCGAGTCTGCTGGGTATTTAGGGCGCGCAGACAGACACCCGACAGACAGACAGCCATGGCTAAATTTTCACGCCCCCGTGCATGAAAATTATTCTTTTTCTCGTGCGCACATACTCTCCACACGATCCCTCTAAACAGCTTATTTTTTGCAAAACAAAACAAAAAGCGTACCCCTAACGGGCCCCACTTAAAAAAAAAAAAAACTATAATAAGCAGCCGTAACCATTAGAGAGCAAATAAATCATCATCAATCATAATGCTCTACCCGAAGCGCAGTCTCACCGGCTAGCTAGGTCGTGAAGTCTAGCAAACGAAGAGCTGCTGTTGTTGTGCATGCAGACATGCAGACTACGTATTAGATCAAGTTATCTGTGCCGGCATCCTTTTCACAACGTAGGTAAGTGTTGCACACATGGAAAATACCGCCTAGAAACATACCCATGCTGGAGCAGAGCTCGCGGAAGCCTCCAAGCTCGCCATGTGTCAACGGGCTGCTGCATGTTCGTCGTGAGCCCCGAGCAAGGAATAGAAAAAAAATGCAAGGGAATTGAGAATGTTGTGTAGGAACATCTCATACTGCGTTAGTCTCTGCAAACAGCCATGGGCGAGCAGGTTGAGGAGGAATTAGTGCGACCTGAGACGGGACACGTACGCGTTGAGGTACGCCGTAGCATCGACAAGGACTTTGAGGGTCCGGAGGCACAAACGGCACGAGAAGCACACATGCATGCTACATCGACCGACAGGTGGGATGACAGGATGTAATAATGTAGCACAGACGTTTATCACACTCGGCCAACGGCTCTCGGAACGAGACCGACTTTGTAGGATGCACAACGTGGGTAATTCATGCCTGGGACCTCACGTGTGTCAAGCTCACCACCCAGACCCGAGGACTGGAAGCTGCCAAACTAGCGCAAGAAGAAGCAGCACCAGCAGCAGCACCAGCAAGAACAGCGGACAGGTGGAGACGTAGAGGCAGGGACGGGGAAACAGGGACGCAAGCGAGGGAGCGGCGGAATTGGAGAGGCAACGATGACACAAAAAAAAGGACGCGAGGCGTTCTTGTTCATGAGAGACCAGCAAACAGCAAATTGACAACCAGCCACAGCCTCGTGCGCCAGAGGGACACAAGCAAAGAGAGGTGGAGATACTGACAAAAGGTACGACGTCTATGCCTCCAGTCGTAGAGTATCTGAAAAGAGGAACACCAGCTTTTGTAGTGATGCCAGTTTGTCACCTCCCCATCAGGCATGCTGCGGGACTGCGGGACTGTCGCCTTCACCTCAACAACGATCCTGCTTCCAAGGTTTAGTTGTTCGCCATGACCAATGACCAACATGCGTGTAATAGGGCATGTGTGTGTGCGAAGCTGTGTGTGCGAAGCTAGGCGTGCTGCATATGAGCTTATGGTTCCCGTGCGAAGCTTGTGAGAGTGTGTCGGTCGCTCCGCTGATTCGTTGAGTTGAGCAGGAGAGACTACAGCACGTCACGCACAGAGACGGTGCATTTAACGCATTCATTCCTCTCTCATGCACGATCTTGTTACAAACCCAAATGAAGGTGTCTTCTGCGGCATCCATCCAAAAAACACGATTCTCTTGTTTGTATAGATCTGGGAGACACTACTGCGATTTTGGAAAAGACAAAACTATCCGTGTCCGTGCTCAGCACTTCAGAGGTAACTACATTTTTGCCTCGACGCCGGGAACTTTTTCGAACGACACCGTTAGCGCCGTGCGGTCAAGAAGAGTATTGGTATTATCAGAAGCCCAAAATTTGCAATTGGTGAACTGCCGATGTACCCTAACTCCTCGGCACACGATACTCGCAGCAGAATCCTCGCCAACCGAGAGCAGCTGGACACCCACGCTGCGTTGTGTCGCAGCCAGAGGTACCAACGTGGTTCTCATACCACACATGATGGCACCCAAGACGGAATGAAGAGAACCGAACGTTGTTGCGGAGTGCTACTTGTACATGACTGAAAAACTCATACTCTCGCTTTCGCGATTTCATTCCCTGTCAAAACCTTCCCAAGTATGGATCTCCGTCCTGGTTCAACCGCTGCTGCTGGTACCTGTTCTGCCCGCCTACCACAACCGTTAACAGCTTTACGAAACTACGTTGCTGGTGTTGGCGCTGCTAGCGCTCCAGCAGGCTCGGCTTCTAACCACATAGTTCACGGTGGTCTGTCGCAAGACACGGACTACATTACTAATGGACAACAAGCACTCTCAGACGCCCAGCTGACATGCGGGCAAAGAGACAACCTCCTCAAACAAGAGCCAGAGGGCGGGAACAACAACAAGTCCAACGAGATGTGGTAGTGCACAGAGTAGGTTTGGTTTCCTCACTTGTTTTGGCTTTCCCTATCTCCCGTGCAACAACAAAATTCCACACCGGCAAGAGAGATCCTGCAGTTTACATATCCAAAATAATTTTGATCCGCTACATATCGGCTCTTTTGCCCTCTGTACCCGAGTATTGGTTGCGTGGGCAATGGCGAAACGGCACTTAATTATCGGCGCACCACCTGCACCCAGCCGAATGCAGTGATAAATACACCCCCCGTTCGATCTCTCTGTCTAGTTGAACACCTACTGAACCGGCGGGTAGCGCATTGTGCTCATTCCGTCGAAGCCGGCTCACCGAACGCTTTTCCCATGGCTCCGCCCTCAACCTACCGCGCTCCATGGTCATCAGTCACACTCAATCCTGCTACCGATCCATCCGCCACCGCGACACCTAGATACAAGTCATCTTCCACCTTAGCATCGTCAGGGCCACCTACTGTCGAGATCGTTGACAAAGGGTGCGTTGCGGGTGGAAGATTCGCTCCCTCAGGAGGTCATACTTCAGAACCTCCTGCAGCCTTGGCCCCATCCTCAATGTTGCCATCTTCCGTTCTCGTCAAATCCGACTCATGTACGAACTCGCCCGCCTCGACACCATCCGTTTCATCCTCCAACTTGACATCTCCCGGGCTGCGAGCTACCGAACCCGCAACCACAGAGGTGGCGGATGGCCCGTCTGCTCCCTTCGGAGATGCGGCCTCAGAAGTCACGCTCGCCTCTACTCCGCCCTCAACCTTGCCATCCTCAACTGCCGACATCTCCACGTCTGCTACAGATCCGTCCGTCACGGCGCTGCCTCGTCCATCTCCAAGAACACCGTCACCTTGACTCCCGGAATAATTCCCATCCACCTTCAGCGGGGATATCGTTACCCACGCCAAGCACATCTTGCCGACCATGCAGCAGCTGGCTACTGTGACCAACACTAACCTCGCGCCGGAGGGAAGGTCATCGTGCTTGTACACGTGGTAGATCACCACGCACAAGATGAACTCTACGAGCGTCAAGACCAGCCCAGTTCCAAACGCTGTCGTCTCGTCCATGATGGAGTCCAAGAAGGGCATGGCTACCAGCCTCACCCCAAATCGAAAGTCCAGACCCTCTCTGGTCACACGAACCATCAGGACCCGGCTTACCCACAGATACACCAACACCAACAAAAACCAGCCGCGTACCACCAGTACTAGCATGGCCAGGGGGACGAAGCGAGCAACAATCTCGAGGACGTGGTACACGAAGCAGAGCCACACGTGACTGCGCGGATGCACATTGCCCACCCCTTTCAAGCTGGAGGTTCCTTGCGCTGGCACTCGACTGAACACTAGTCCCGTCAGGGACGAACAACATGGGCCAAGCCTGAACCTCTCACAATCGCTACCGCCACCGCAAGTCAAAAGCCTCTCTACGCTAGAGACATCGGTGGCCGCATAGGCCAGGCTGGCCACCGAGATGCACACGGAGACTTCACGCCATGCCAAGCGGCTAGAGGATGATGATGTCTCGGGCCAGAGCCTCAGCATTGCATACAGCTGGAGCAGCAACTGGGGCACCGACTCAAAAAGTGGTTCGACGACTCGCACAAGCGCTAGAACTGGTGAATACACCTGTCCACCAACAGTGTTCCACGCTTCGGCTAGTAAGCTCAACTGGGTCGCCACCAAGAAACGACGGAACGGCCCAACGCCCGAGAGAACGAACAAGGCCACGATGACCGCAGGTCCCAGGGCGAAAAAGAGCCCTAGTCCGAACCAAACAAAGTCGGTTGCCTTGTAGTAAGACACCGCAGTGTAGAGATCCGAAGCCAAGTCAGCATACCCAAGGACAACTGGTACTATCAC